GATATATGGTATATTTAATAGTAAAATGCTAAGAACTGTGTACAGGCAAATCAAGCCAAACAACACGTATACAGAAATATGTTCTTCTCCTTGTTAGTCTCTATTTTTTTTAAAGAAGGTAAGGTAAGTTTTAGAGCTGAAAAAGCAGCATGTTTGAAATGCTGCACGCATGCAAAGCGCACACTCACTGAACTAGTTGTTGCACACCTCTGCTCAGATGCCCTCTCTTCCCCCAAGCATTTCTTTGCCTATTTGATTTGCAACTCCATTGCATTTCTCCATCACTTTTCTCGCCATCGTGTGCAGAGAAACAAGTTTGTGGGCCTGAAAAAAAGTTCAAACAATTCCAACTTCGCGATATCTTTTTTTTTTCATGAGAAGTTGGAATTGATTGATTGAACTTTTTTTTTTAGTCCCACAAACACGATGACGAGAAACGCAACAGAGAAACACGACAGAGCTGGAAATCAGGTAGGCAAAGCAATGCTTGGGGGAAGTGAGGGCATCTGGGCACCAGGTGCTGAAGCAGGCCTGTCTCTCTCCAGTAGCTGCCCAGGTCCGCTGGAGGGAAGGTCGGCATCTACTGGCACTTAAATGCGGCGGAATTCCAGCTCCCGAGAAAGGGCTTAGTCTGACTTGTTACAGACCCTTTGAACAAACTGAGATGCCATGGCATAGAGTGATATCTGTTAGTGAGCTCACCAGCCAAAAATAAACCACATCATAGCTTGCCATTCCATGTGAGCCATGCTAATTTGTCAGTAAAGTTAAATCACAGCTCATTTGTTCTTTATTTAGCACAGAATAAGATGAATAACTCTCATAAAATATGAATCTAATATAAGATTTCAAACTGTAAAAGAAGGAGATTAAGGAGATTAAGGCTTCTTTATGATCCTATCCATACATGGACAGAATTAACAGAAAGTAGTAAGTGTTCCATCAGCCTATCCTAAGGGACTTTTTCAAACATTGGTCACCTAGTGTCATAATTATTCATAGATCTCAAGTTGTAAATATTAGTGTCTGCTAAATTATAATGACTAAGCAAAGAGCTTTATTCACAATTTCAGACAAGATTGTGTAATTGTATTAGTAACAGACATATACATTCACATAATCTCCCCCACACAAATATTTACAGAAAAAGTGGAAATGAATACATGGCATGTTACTTCAATTGATGTTGCAAGGCATGAGTCAGGCCTTTAGCTCAACATGATATAATGGACAGATTTTTTTTAAGCTCTGTATAAAATGGCATGTCACCTGTTTTTCAATTTTTTTTGATGATGACTTCTTGTTTTAAATACACAAGATGATGATTTTGGTGAAATTTCTTGGAATCAAAGCAGATTATGGGTGTAGACAGAGTATGGTTTAAAATCAAGCTGGCAGCTGTTTATATGCTAAAAAATAAATAAATAGTGCAGCTTTTGATTGTATTGTCATGTCCACTATCTTGCTTTTTTTAAACTATTCCTTGTGGGCACTTCCCGGTTTGACTGCCGGTAATGGGACAAAACGGATTCCCATCATTTGTCCCTGCAAAATAGTTCTTAATACATCAGAAGAAAATTTAGAATCCAAATTCAAAACTAAATATTTTAACCCTAGAGATCCTTGATATGTGTGGGGAGAATAACTATAGGTGAAACATTCCACATGAAAAGAAAGTTAGATAGTGAAATGAATAATAAACTTCTATTTTTAAAATATGCATTTATCAACATGCTGCTCTTGAAATGACAAGTGCATGACAAAGAGTTTATTGTACACAAAAGTGATACAAGTGGAGGGAAAGGTATTTTTCACATTACATAGCTTTGTACTCCAATTTATCACCTACTTTCTCTAGGGCATTTCAACAAACTTTAGAATATTTAAAATTACTGAATGCAATTGCTTCTAGGCCATGTTCCTATGAATATTTGAAACTAAATTCCATTAAAATAAGTACAGTGTCTACACCTTGTAATCACTATCTAGAAAAGTCAACCGTACCTACAAATTAGTGGTGCCAATATGCTAGTGCATTAAATTAGACTTTGTCACCCTTGGTTAAGTTCAAGTAGATTTAGACCATAGTGTTCAGTGGTGGTTATTAGTGTTCTAAATTGCTTAACATATTTTCTCTACTCCAGAATACTTTATATGCTGTACTATGTACAGTACGAATTAGTATTTGAGACCTTAAATTTAGCCACTTAAAATAATTCCTCAATTTATAAGTAGCAAATTAAAGTACATTTGATAGTTTCTTTGATAGTTTATTGCATTAAGAAGAGTGGTCTTCAATTCCCAGAATTCCCCAGCCAGCCTTGATATGGGAAGACTATACAACTCACAATGAAGTCACAAAATTTAAGGGCATCACTATGAAATACAAACATTGCTGTAATTCTTGGAAAGGGAAATACAAATTGGTTTACCTTTTCAGTAGGGAAAACACTGTGCAAACACTGTATAGATCAGTGGTCCCTAATCTTTTTGGCACAAGGGATTGGTTTAATGCAGAGGTGTCCAACCTTGGCAATTTTAAGACTTGTGGACTTCAACTCCCAGAGTTCCTCAGCCAGCTTTGCTGGCTGAGGAACTCTGGGAGTTGAAGTCCACGTCTTAAAATTGCCAAGGTTGGACACCCCTGGTTTAATGGAAGGCAAATTTTCCACAGAACCCGGGGTGGTGCTGGTTTCGGTTTTGCTCACTCATTCGTCACTCACCTCCAGTTCTGTGACCTAGTTCCTAACAGGCCATGGACATATTGAGGATGAAACTAAAACTGGCTGAAGAGTTCTGGGAATTGAAGTCCATACAATCTAAAAATTGTTCTACAGGATACCTTGTTTTATTTCAATCCTGATCTGAATTCTTCCTGCTTGTAATGCATGTAAAATTGGAATTTTGTTGCATGCATGACTCAAAACCTCATCTCTTACACATATTTAATTGTTTTAATTCATGCTTGGTAAACATGTAAAAATGCACCTGAAATATTGAAATAGAAGCTGCAGAAGCTCTAGTAGGAAATATATATGTACCCAAGTAAAACTGTACTTGTGAGGAAATCCAATTCTATCAATTTCATGATTTGCATCATTCCCAATATGGGCCATTTTTTATTGCCATTGCTGTGTAATCCTCCAATAATAAGTCTTCAGATATATTTTAGATTTGGATTTTTTTTTTTAAAAAAATCATAATAGTCTGTTTATGTACAAGAATTGTCCACATAACATTTCAAAAGTTCCAGTGGATTGATAAAATGTTAATATTTAACATAAATAACTGTAGCTATTCTAAAAAGGCTATTTGAACACATATTTAAATTACATATACTGGCAGGTTGATATGGGAAGATTGTACAATTCATAATAGAATTACAGAATTTATGAGCACCAGTATAAAGTTCAAACATTCGTTGTAATATTTGAAAAGGGTTGATACCAATTAACCATTTCAGTAAGGAAAAACATAGTGGCTAAAACAGCAACAAAAAGCATCTGAGGAAAATAATGAAAATAAATCATTATGTAAATGCACATGTAACATCTATGATGGTTATGCCATGTTGAATTTTTGTCAAAAACATTTGCTATACTCCTTATTATAGTGTGTCACATTACAGAGGTCTGCTGGTTAAAAAAATGGAGCAGGGGAATTTGAATTCTAGTTTTGCCTGGGATCCTGAAGCCAATTGGACTAGTCACCCTCATTCAGCCTTGGGAAGAAGGCTATAAACCTCCATCTGGAAAACTCCATGTAGTCACTGATTTGTTAGCAAAAAAATAATAATCTTATTTTTCTGCTAACAAATCTTCAAGCAAATTTACATTAGTGACTTGCACAAAGATCCATGTTCTGTCTGTAATAAATTAAAGAACTATGACTTAAATTTTTCAGGAAAACAACAATGATTTTTTCACATTTTTCACTAAATATAAAGCAAATGTATTTTCAAGGATTCATCATTAATAATGAGAAAGCAGTAATCGTCTGTGCAGATAGTTATTCTTATCCTATTACATTGAACACCAGGAGGCAGTATGCTCTCTATTTTATTTTTATTAGAAAACCAGTATTGTACTGTCTCCTGGTGGCCAATATATAACATTACTGAGAACATAACACTGGAGAAATAACAGATGAGTCATGCATGATTCTAATGTAGTCTTAAGACCTATTTCAGTCATAAGGAGAGGCTAATTTCCCCCCTATGTGAAGGAATGGCACTGCTTTCAAATCCACCCCTCACTGTGAATGAAGTCCCTTCTTCACTTTTTTTAACTGCACAAAATGGTTAAAAGTTTCTATTTATAGATGCGCACTAAATATAGGACCCTGTATAGGCTTTTATCCACACACTTTTAATTTATGAGAAATATACCTTTTCTGGTATTATAAATAATATCTTAGCATTAACGAGTTTTCAGTTTTCTGGATGTGCATTTTTCCCTCTCAAATTGGAATTACCAAGGAATGTACTTGAGGTGCTCTGATTACAAATATGACCTTAGCCATTAAGTAATAATTTTTCTACAGTTATACACAAGACGGGGAATTCCATTCGATGCTTGATAGATAACACCTCTGTGAAATGTTATGGTGCACTTGCTAATTTCTGAAGGGTGTTTTTCATCCAGGATAAATGTTTCCCAAAACAGTAGCAAGCTCAGCTTTGAATATGGGCTTCTTCCCCATTTAAGAATGATGATAAAGTTGCAGATGTTTCTTATGCTTGTCAGACGCTGTTTGAAACCCTCAAATTCAATTCAGTAGGATATACGTCCCTGTGTGTACATTTGAGATAAGAATCAGTGGGTTGTGCTCTAAAAAGTGACAATATTAAAAATAATGGGTAGAATCTGAGGAGTAATTAGCAATAGCACATATACCGCTTCATAGTGCTTTACAGCCCTCTCTAAGTGGTTTACAGAGTCAACCTATTGCCCCCAATAATCTGGGTCCTCATTTTACCAACCTCAGAAGGATGGAAGGCTGAGTCAACCTTGAGCCTGGTGAGATTTGAACTGCCAAATTGCAAGCAATCGACAATCAGCAGAAGTAGCCTGCAGTACTATACTCTAACCACTGCGCCACTGAAGCTCATGGTCTCTCTGCTCTCTCCCTAGTTTTGAATACACCTTGGCTTCAAAGTTGTTTGTATATCCATGAAGAAAAAGTTATCCGAAAAAAAAGTTCCAAGTTCAAAAAAAGTTGCACAATTTTTCAGTCCTGCTCATCTATAAAAAAGGAAAAAATCAACTTTCCTTCCAGGATTTTTTTTCCTATCTTTGATTTGTTGGTTTTTCTTTTTGTTTCTTTTATTGCTCAGCATATGGTATTGTTTGAAATAAAACTTCTGTGACCTTTCCTACATTAAACCAAGGATTTGATTTATAATATCTCAGAAGTCCACCTGAGGACAGATCATTGCAGAACTGTTAAAGAGTTTTTCTTTTTCTGGAGTTTCTTCTCATTTCTCCATTTTCTTTCTTAAGGGCCTGTTGAAAAATCCAGCCTGCAAGGAAAATAATGGGGAGGGGGGGAAAACATAAATCAAATGAAAAATTACTACATTAGACACAAAAAGATAAATGCAAAATCTTATAGTACAATATGTCTAAGTTTAGACTATGAGCCAACGACAGATTCCACCCTTCCCTGAGTGTCAATCATTCCAATGCTTTCCCCCATTCATCCCTGCGAGCAAAAAAGAAAATTTCTTCAGATGAAACACAAAGAGGAACAAAAGTAATAAAACCATATTAGGACAAATATAAATTGTGAAAAATCCATCAGTTCATTTGGTAATATATACTAGATTTACCCTGATGGAAATATATAGAATGACATGCATACTGTTTGGAA